AGAGCAGTTAAAAACGACAAGATTCAGCTATATCATAATTAGCAAGAAAAATATAGTCCTTTAAGGCACTACTGTATCTGAATAAGGCTTTAATGGGAAATTTCCTGAATCGTGTTTTAGCACATTTGATAATAAGAACAACTCAGAGGGTTTCAACGGGGTTGACCGTTAGTCGTAAAATGCCAGTAACTAAACCGTTGGGCGCAAAAATTGACAAACTTTGTTCGTTGGTTTTATGAAAAATAAACTATAAAAATTATTCTGATGACAACAATGGAAAGATATTAACTGTTAGCCGTAACTTGGTAAAACTTTTAACCGAAGCCATCACCCCATTGAGACCCTCAATTTATATTACCATATTAAATTGTCTCTATGCCGGAATAGAGAGGTCGTTGAGAAATTCTTGTAAAATTCACTCTTCTCCTACCTTTACAATTACATTTTAGTCAGTGGAATATTTGCCAAAAGTTTCTTTAATTCTTTCTTGTATTTCCACCTCAGTGTACGCGCCAGAAAGAACGTGTCGCGGTGAACCCTGAATATGTTATTATTATCATTATCCCAGCGGAGAAAGTCTAAATAAGAATTAAAAAGTGATAAGGGAAAGCTCACTGATCAATTTTTAAATCCCCTATTCTCCCTTGTGAAAGTTTGGCGCAGTATTTGACGACAGGCCTGAGTAACTATGAATGTTTTTATCAGCCCTTTGAATGAAAAATGCTCATTAAGAAATTCGTAACTGACTTGTTTGAATATTGAGGAATAATATAAAAAAGCTGGGCGAAAGATCTTAAGAATGAATAATGAGAATCATTCTGTCCCGTAGAATTTAAAGATCTGCCCTTAACACAGTTAACTTTGTGTCATAGTATACTTTTTAATTCTTATCTTTCCTCGTATAGACATTTTAAACGTCAAAAAGAATAAATACCTCAAAAATACTTTTTCTGATCCCTTTCCTCGATTCAGATCGAACGGCTTTTAAACAGCAATGAATTCAAATACAGAAAGCCGTCTGCATACAGCTTTACCAGGTAATTATCTAAAGATGAATATTCTTATGAACGCGCTGTCCATTCATTTCAAGTCACCATGGATGACATTTACAAACTTCTTTGTAATAACGTCAGCAATTGTGCCTTTTAACCAGTTTTGCATTTTTATATGATATAATCGACATGACATGAGTCATCAACGCATTACCAGCTTTTAAAGAATCAAATATTTACTTTGGAAGACAAAAAAAACAACGTTTTATCTAAAATCTTCTAAAATGTAACATTCCGTAAGCGCTCAAGTGCAATTACTTCTATCCCCTCCTCTCCCCTCCCCTCCCCTCCCCTCCCCTCGAGGAGGATGGTTTTCGGAAAGTGGTTTGATAGGCGATCACAGAATGCACCAATGGTGACAGTGGTGCTGAAACTGGATATCTACGAATTCCTCCCCTCCCTGCCGTCACCCCCGTCCCCTCCCCCCGCGCCGAACTAAATTATCAGAGAGCAGAGATTATTGATACTCAACGATTTCAAAATGGATGTAATGAAGTGGTAGTAGAACTTCATGTTGCGCATTTTGGTCTGAAGTCATACTTGCGATTTCAAATCAAACCCGAGATGCGCGTTCATTCGAGTTTGAAATCATTCATAGGATTTTAAACCGAATTGCCTTCCACTCAGTTCAATCACCATTATAAATCATGGGAAACGAGTTTGGGAAGGTTTAGGGATACCCACATTTAAAATAAAAAAGAAAAGCTCAACTGACTGTACCTACTTTATTAGTTCAAACTGACAAGCAATAGACCGCTATTTAACAATTATTCATCGAAGTGGAGGTGAATAATGGTGGATACTTGCCTAGCCGCGAAGCGGTGAGGTAAATATTCACCACTTTTACCGACACTGAGGTGAATAATAAGTTGATGAAAAAGAAAGGAAACATCCAAAAATATTTCTGTAGGAAATCATAATTTTATACCATAGTTATTACATGTTTGTTGGATGAATAAGCAAAATAATTCGCAGAAACGATGTTCCAGTAACTTAACAAACTAATAAGAGCCAGACTTATCGAAACTATCAGAAATCAACTTCAACAAAAGGTCAGGCGCTTGTTTAACAACTGTTCTCCTCGAAAATCGCATTTATTTTCAGTGCGGTAGCAGGGATGGTGGAACATTCATGTCAGATGCAGTTTGCAAATCAAGATGTGTGTCGATTACAGTCAAATACAAAAGCGACTAAAGTTTTCGTCTGAATGGTTGTCAGCCACGGGTTCACGATGAGGCATCGTTTCCTTTTGCTGTTGCTTCACACTACTCATGATCTTTATACAGGCGAATGTGATGAATCATTTTGCATTTTGCTCGATTTTTTGTTGGAATTTGTTAATAAAAATAAATGAATTTTATATTTTCGCCAATGCGTTAGTTAATTTTAAATCGTAGTGACATCCCTTTCATTCTTTAGACAGCTGAATCTCCATCGACTTCCGTGATGTTATGTTTAGAACCTCATTCAATTCTCTCAGAAATAATTACTTACATGAAATCCTTATAGAAAGATATTTGATGAACTAACCAAATAAAGTTAGCTGCCCACGTATTTCACTCCTTTTTAACTCGTGAATTGCGCGCATGCGCAAGAGCGAGTTATAGATACGATGTAGGGAATAGCACTCGCTCGCTCGCTCGATTGGTCGATTCCTGTAAACTTTTTCTCGATTTTAGGCTTTTGAGTGCATTTGATAGTATTTGGCGAGCAATAAACAAACGAAATGGCGAAATGGCTAAGAATAGTGGTGGGGTTAAAAAGAAGCCAATGATAATCTTAAAAGAGTGTTTTTTTTGTTTTAGTTTCAACAAGCTGCGCCAGCGACTGGCAGGCATGCAAGGATTCACACTGAAATAACAGAACAACCTTCGTTTTTCATGAAAATTTTAATTCACAATCCTTGAACTTGAAAACAATCCGAAGATTCATTGAAAATATCACTTACTGCGAAGCGCACGGAGTTTACAGATGTTCAAAAGCTTTTTCTGTTATGGCGTGAGATTGAGGACAAAATCGATCATTACGTTTCGTATCGTGTGTTTTTCCTGTGTGAAGCAACAGAAGATGCCGGCGACTGACGAAATTAAAAGTTAACACGAAAATCAAATAACACCTAATCAAACAATTTTAGCTACCGATTTTCAGTGAATTTTTAACGAACAATTTTATTTTAAGTTTCAAGACAATTTGAAGATTCAAAATACATATTACGTACTAAAATGCGAAAGTTATACTCCACAAAATTGATAAATAGGCCTGAAATGAAATTCTATCTTGTTATTGATTATACGTTGCCTAGCACGTGACTAAAATCTACCTAGGCGGAGATCCAAAATGACGGTGGCAGTCTTAGCTTCGTTATATCACTCAAACCTCGTTCCCGTTTGTCTCATTTGATAAAGAGGAAATCGTTAATGTTTTCATTAAGACAGTATTGCCTTGATTTTCTAATTTTACAATGATAGACAATAAATTTCACTTTTCACCCACATTTACTTCCAACCTTTTCTTTTGAACCAGAAACAAAAATGATATAAGTTTAAAACACGACATCATCCACCCTTGTCAAATGTAATAGCATGATCATTTCAATTGTAATGCCTTCTTATCCCAACGTTACTTTGTTTCTTTTCCACATTAGCGAACGCTGAACTACTGCTTGTACTCTAGATACGACAATCAACCACAAAATTCCCTAAACCAGATAACATTAAAACATAATCCCAAAAAATCATGTGTCAATTCACGAGTTTGCTCATAGAGCACTTTGATCTTATTTTTATCATCATTTATTGCGAGAAACTATGCAATGCACTGAGACTGTTCATTTAGTTCGTGGGGAGGGAGGGGGGGAGGGGCGTAACTGGGATGAGGTAGAAATTTGTTCAACTTTGGCAACTCCAGTAAACTCTTTCTAAACTGGCCAACCCAAGACTTCTCACCAGTTTTGGTGATTTACGTTTGGTGAAGCACACAAAAGCACTTCACTGCCGGATATTGAGATTTATTAGCGTTAATTTTTTTGTATTTAAAATTTTGTCAAATTTAGTGTTATGCTCTTCTTCAACATCATCATCTACTAACAACGACTAGCAGATAGATGCAAACTAATTTAAACAAGTTAATCATAACTTGTAAATGAGACAGACATGTTATCTGGACAATTAAAGACAAAGGAAAATCTAAACAATGATATTGCAAAGTTGTCAAGCTACTTCTCTGTATTAGCTACATGATTACATTTTTCTCATGTTTTTCTTCATTCTCTCCGACTGAGATAATATACTAGAAATATTGAATGCTTTATTATCTGTTATTAACTACATGCATCATAGAATCGACAATAATATGTAAACAGATGGCATATATGTTAATAAGCAGCTCTTTTAACAACATCGGTTTTGCCCATGTAGAAGATATACTTAATGGATGGCATATTTTCTCCTTGCAGTTTTCCATCTACATATAGCTTGAATGAGAGTTTTACAGGATAGCCCTGCTCTCCCCTGAGGTCTCAAATCAATGAAAGGTTTGTTAAGATTTGTGAGCAAATGTAGCTCCTATATCGACTGGTCTTTCTAATTTAAAACTCTATCATCTATCATCATTTTCTGGTAAGAAAGTACGTTTCTTTTCTGACTGGTATATGGAGAACAACCGTTTGAATCAGAAGGTCAGTGATACCAAAGAAGATCACATTTTTTTAAATGAAATTATCAACTTTGCAAGAAATTTTCTCCTGTCCGACCTGATCGGGAAAAATTTGGAAGGTAATCTTGCTTTAAATAAACCTATTGCGTTCCACCAAACTATTACGGCTATTAATGGAAATCTTCATTTCGTAGCTAACCCTTTATAATAATAATTACTAATTACTTATTACAGATTACTAAGAAGTTTAGGGTTAAACTGGTGTTTACTTATTATCCTTTTATCGACCAATGATTACAACTTTGTATCATATTCCAGATCATATTCTTCAACAATGTCTTCTTCTCCTTCGTGGCCTTCTTCTAAATTAAAGTTAAAAGGAAAACAAAGTTTAAGAGAAACCACAAAAATGCTAATCGAATAAGCTGGAAAACCAATAGTAAAATGGATAGTTATTGTTTATGTTGTTGTTTGTCAGTTGACCAGATAGAAAACGTTGTGAATAACCTTGTTCTTGGGGAGGTATTTGCTGCATTTCCAGCATTTCAGCTCCTTGCTGATCTAAATACACGTAAAAATAAGTGAGCGAATAAGCTTCCTAACACAAGAACAAAAGCAAAGCGACTTTTTGACGACTTTTATGAGATACATTTTCGAATGAATCAAATGATCTTGATAATTATAAAAACATTGTAATCAACAATGATGTCATTACATACCCTCCTTGTGAAGCTGTTGGCCAATTCCAATTTGATTGTCACCATGCTGCTCTTGCGCATCTTGATCAATGGATAAATACAAGAGTGTAAGACTCGTCTTTCCCCTAAACACGAATCTATAGCTGCTCATTCTACTTAGAAGAGAGGCACTTTCGAGACATGAGTTGGACAATAGGGTAATTAAATACAAACAAAAGTAATCATGCCATACAAACGCTAAGTGATTCTATTTCAGCAAACAGTTAATTAAAAAAAACTAATTCAAAATGCTACTGAAGTTATGTTTTAGTACATTTCCCCATCAAAGTTCTTTGCGCTGTTTTTATGCCCAAAAACAGTTGCGTGTCTTAGGCGATGAGAATTTCAATTGATATCTACTTGTTTTGGGACAATGAGCGTGCAAATTATAGGTTAAACACCTTGATCTGCGTGTGGCAATACAAGAATCTGCATTTCCATCGCCTCCCCTTCTAGTTGATGTGGGAAAACAAAGATAAAAAACGAACTGGAGGACAACATCATGAAAATAAACTGAATGGAAATGAAAATGATTCCTGAGGAGAATAAATTGACACAAAGTAATGATAATGGTGTTACCTTCTTGTTGCCCGTTATCATCAATCTCTTGTGGATCTTGTTGTCGTCCTTATCAAAAAAAGGCACGGGTAAATAAACGGATTAATACTACTACAATATGATATCTATCTCAAACGTGGCGTTAGTCACAGAAAGAACGTTTTTTTATTAAGAACAACGTTTCCGACTTTAGTCTATGAACTATGTAATAGAGAGAATGGAAAAATGGGCGTAACTACCCTCTTGATCTTCACTGCAGTAAAAAGTACTCCCTATGAAGCTTCTCAGCATTGCCATTTTGCTTCCTAGATACTCTTGCGCCTGGGGAGGAGATACAATTATCATCAACGACGTCCATCAACCAACCATTTTCCCTTATCAATTGTTACATAGTAACAAGTGCCAACGATCTCGATCGATTGCTCGCTTGACGTCTTTATATTATAATCATCACATTCTTGGTAGTGTGAAGCAACCAGGATTATTCAGGCCAGTACTTGGACGAAGTATAAGCTAAGTTTCCCAGGCAGTATAAAACTACTCGTTTAAACGGCTGAATGGAAACAGTCACTGTTAGAGTGTCTAGCTTAAGAAGCCCCCCTGTCAGTGCATTAAAGAACCCACCGTGTTAACCGCCAGACCACCGGGTCTACCCTTAAATGATTTAAATTTCAGAGATGATGAGGAAATGTTGTTCTTTACCTTTGGTGTTGCTAATGTGTACAGAATCGGGTTTATCACTGAATTAATGGGCAGAGCAAACACGGCAATCCAAACAGCCAAATCCCCTGGTTGTTTGTAATCCTCCTCCAAAACCGACTTCATACCAAACACGATGATTGGCATCCAGCAGAGACAGTCAGTGAAGATGATGAAGAACACTCTCTTGGCCAGACCGGTCTCCCTCCTTGCGTTGGCTGATTGGTTTTTAACTCGCACTCTGCTTATGAATATAGCAAGGTATGCAACTGTGATGAATATGACGAGGAAGAAATTGAGGCCAATAAATACAGAAACAGAGTACTCCCAGCCTTTCGTTTTGTGACGAGAGAGCTGTAAGGGAAGGCAGACTACATTTTTTCCGTAATAGTTGTGATATGTCGTAAGATCTTCGAAGTATCTCAAGCCAAACATCGGAAAGAAAGCCAGGAGGAAGCCGACGAGCCATATGATGGCGCAAAGGATTTGGGTCATTTTCCGCGAAAGTGCTCCACCTCTGAACAGGAACACAATGTTCTTGAGTCGGTCCGCAGATATCAAAGCCATCAGCATCAAGGAGACCTCACTGGATAGCAAAGAGGTAGCACCAATTATTTGGCAAGCCAAGCCAGACCGCCACTTGACGTCATGCAAGTAATACTCTCCTCTCCACAACAGATCTTTGACACCCAGTGTGATTAGGTATGCTCCCATTACACCATCGGAGACTGCCAAGTGCAATAACATGATTGATTGTACCGTGTTTGTATCCTTAAAGACTGAACGCCATGTGATGACAAACACCGACCCAGCCAGGGAAAGGGAGCCGATTGCCCATATGCTCTTCCTCGGGATTGGGTTCTTGAACATGTTTTCACAGTTGGCAAAGTCGTCGTTATCAATGAAAGCACAGTCAGCGTCCTCCTTGTGCATATGACAACACATCAGGTTTGTGTCCAAACTCCTGCAACCGTAAAATTTTATGCTATTCAGTCCGTAAGGATAGAGTAAAAGATAAAACCAAAAGCCTATACCCTAAGAGCGCAAAGGTAACGTGAGATCAGTCAATCAGAATTCATTTCCTCATATGGGGGTTTTTGCTACTATGGATCTTCATTGAATATGTTCGAAAATTTTTCTTTTGATATCATAAAACAATGTAGTGTGTAATAGCAGTCTTTGTGAGGCTTGTTACCCAACAAAATGGGGTTGTTATAAAAGTCGTCAATTGGGTTAAGAAAGCCAACCATAGATATTTAGTAAAGTATAGAAACCACTAACTCATTTGCCTGAAGCTCAGTGCTGACAAACATTTGAATTAGCTCTGCTAATAAATTGTAAACATATCAAATAAATCACATCAAAATCTTACACTCGTAATATATCCTTCAACTCTTCAAAAAATCTGTAGGGAATCTCCCTCATGTGGTTATAATGTAAAAATCTGAAAATATAGATATTTAAAGACAAGAGTATAAGGATGAAATCAGTGGATAAAAGAGCATTTCCGGAGTGTTGCTTCAAACTTAGCGTATCGATTTGACCTTTTTTATTTTCTTGACTGAACCTTTGATGGCAGTCAGTGTCTTTCATAATCTGATTCTCATTTTATCATTTATGAAAACTAAACACTCACAGAATTTTTAACTGTCTGATTTCTCTGAAGTTGTCGATGGAAACGTTCTTCAATTCGTTGTCAAAGAGTTCTCTTACAGAAAAAAAAAATTAAAAATACACATAATTTTTGGGCATTGATTTGTGCATCTCAAACTGATAAGTGTGATTATTAGAAGATACTGAGATACCACTTTGATCAAATTAAGCACAAAATGAATTTCATATTCTACTTACAGAATCAGAAGCTGCTTTAAGCCTTTGAAAATTCCTTGTGGCAAATATCTGAGTTTGTTTCCCGACAGATAGCTAATGAAGAAAGAAAGAAAAGAAAATGTATGGCGAACTTCGGGAATTAAAGAACGGGACATCGATAACGTTTTTCATGAGTGGGAGGAAAATTTACAAACACACGCGTGTCCTATGAACTTCGTGATAGACCTAGCTCACCGTGGAGTCTCTGTGGCTCAGTGGCAGAGCATCAAAGCGCGGAATCCGGAGGTCTGAGGTGCGTTCCTCATGGGGACTCACAATTTTTTTTCTTTGTCTCACGCTCGTGACAAAACGAAAAAAAACATCTTTCTCTATTTTCAAACGTAATCACATAAATTTATTTCAGTTTTTGGACTTTTAAAGAGGAGCATCGTCATCGCACGAACTTTATTAACAAGTTGTTGCTGAAAATTCATCTACATTATTTCTAACCCGGCCTATAGTTTCTCCAGTAATCTCCACAGACCCTCCGCATGCATTTATTTTGGGAATTCTGGAAAAACATAGGGAAGTTATAACATAGGGCCTAAAATTTTCTTAAATATGAAAACTTGATCGGGTAAGCGTTTTCCGCAGGAAATTGCGATGAGAAAAAGTTTGTCAATCAGGCAAAGTCGTATAATCAGCGTAATAAGATATTCTAAGCCTACATACAGAAACCAGACCCATAGAAAACTCAGATCCGTACATAAACTACTTACAGCTCTTCTAGCTCGGCCAGTCCGCGAAATTGTTTAGGATCGAGCTCTTTCAACTTATTTTTCTCCATTTTTCTGTTAAATTGTAAAACAGAAACCTGTTAGCGACCAACCTCCTTCTTAATTTGAAATTTGAATCGGCGCCAACGTATCTAGCGTGCCTTTTGATTACGATTTCTCCACCTCAAGCCAAAGTAACCGCAACAACCAATTAAAAGGAAAAAAATTGATGAAGGCAGTCAAATTTAAAAATAATACGAACAAGCACATGGCTTTAAGTTTCAGTGATGGTGGATGACCAGGTCGCGCTTGGTTTTAGCTTTGAATCCAATGGTTGGAAAGGCGGCGCACGTTTTTAGATTATTGATAAGGGTGATGAAAGCAAAACGAGGGCAATCCTTGATTAATTTTGACAGTAAATTGAAGTAAATAGATCCATCCTAGACCTCACATAGCTCTAAAATCGTCCGGCTCAAAAGCAGTTTAAACATGGTCACAATTCTTTTCCGTACTTTAACATTCAGGATCCTTTTATTTTCTCTTACTCTTTTATTTCCCAAATCGATAAATCAATCAATCGACTGACAGCTAATTAATATTTCGATATTTCCATCTCTACTCACAATGTCTTAAGCTTGGTCAGGTTAACAAATATCGTTGATGGTAATTCTTCAATTTGGTTTTTGGATAAAAACCTGCAAGTACGAAACAGTAAGCCAGACATTGACGAATGATAGGTTTCAGTGTACGAAAAACATTTGACATTTGCGTTTAACGGCAAAACAAAATGGTTCCCGTAGCTTAAGATTTCAACTGGTAAGATTGACGGTATTTTTTACAATGCAAACGATAGAAAGATATATCATTGGCATTCATTCAGTGGGATACGTTTTGGTGAACATGTCTAATTAGATCAAGTGGAGAGACATAATTTTATAACATTAGTGCAATGAAAAATCAAGTTTAAGATCAAAACGTATATTTCTTACGTTGTGAATTCAACCCTTTTACTCCCATGAGTGACTAAGAGGTAAATTCTCCTTACCGTGTCAAAGCATAATCAAGCAGACAAGAGAATAAAGAAAAATAGCGATCAGGGGACTTTAAGTTGATCCAATACCAAATTCTCCAAGCTGACATCATAAAAATTGTACGGCAGATAGTAAGGAGAATTACTGATGAGATCTTGGGAGTGAAAGGGTTGAGAAGGAAATTGAGAAATTTTCGCAACTCGAATATGCTTAGGATGAGAACCGCTTTCCTTGTCGTGGCTGTTTTTGTTTTGTAATGTTTTTATTGTTGACTTACAGCTTTTCGAGATTTGTTTGGTTGCTAAAGACGTCTTGTGGCAGGTTCTCAACCGTATTATTAGACAGGTCCCTGAAAATTTCAAGGGGAAATGCATTAGAACTTTCAGAAAATTCAGAAAAAAATAACATCAGTCGGAATGTAATTCACGCGAAAAGAAGAGAGTATGAGGAAACTACCGCGGAGGACCACGCATTGGTCAGTTCAGAACTCAAGGGGGAGGGAAAGGCAAAGAGAGAGAGGGAGAGAGAGAGAGAGAGAGAGAGAGAGGGAGAGATATGTGGGAGAAAGTTTATTGAAACATTCAGATTCGCGGCCTCCTAAGGCTGAATTCTATGAAATTTAAAAAAAGTTTAAGTCATATGTACATTCATAAAATAATAACTTCATGTAATAATATGATTATAACGCATAAAAATTTCACTAAATGGACATGGATGGAACAAATATGTTCGTGAAACGACTAGTGCGAATTTTTGGCAACATAAATGTGTGCTAGCCGGGCTCAAATTGTACCTCTGAATACCCTTGGGTGGTAGCAGATGATGGAGTTTATGCGCAGTATAAGATACGTCTGAGTAAAAGAATTTATAGCCATGTTTTTTGCGCCTGTATTTCAAACTTCTGATGTTAGAAAATGCTCGATTGTAATGATATGGAAGGCCAGGAGAAATAATGAGAAAGTGCGCATTTCTGATCACGCTTAAAGTGTTCGTTTAAATAAGTAGGTAATGCAAGGGCGCACAATACTCTAACATCAGCTTAATGCAGGTAAGATATATAAAAGCACATGACATCATGAGCCGGAACATTCTCTCGCTTCAGTAAGATCAAGAAATGTGTGAGCTAATTGGCCCTTAGCAATTCAATTGAAAGTTATTAGACGTGGTTACCCCTGATATGTGGTTTGGGCAACAAGTTTAAGGTCCTTGGAGTTGACGGTTACGGCGTCAAACCGGTGTTTGTTCTCTTGAAGTCAATAATCAATTATTTGCACTCATCTGAGTTCATCTGAATATTGTTGTAAGCTGACTACTGCTTTACTGCTGCAAGTTGCAGCGCTTTGGATTGCACTTCGACTACCTTTAGGGAGCTGAGACCATGCATCGCAAAAAATTTTGGAGTAATGCCGAATTGGCTCGGATCGATCTTCTTAGGGTACCCAGGCCTACGTAGGTACTTGCACAGCCAGCTCTGACAGAGACAGGGTTACCAAGATTGGTCTTATATGCTTAATAATAGCAGTGGCTGGTTTCTCCTCAGGCAGTGGGACTACGTCAGCATAGGAAGTCGATGAAATTCCTACGCTCTCACCATCCAGTTACGCTGCCTTCCCTAATGTTACTACGATATAATCGCTCACAATTATAATTTTTTTTAACGACTTAAAATAGGCCCATCATGTGCTTTTATAAAATCAGTGAACATTCAGTTATGATCCATCAAATGTCTTTGCTTGCGTGCGTTTTGTATAAACGCAACCCCGCTGCAACTTGCGGGGATCTCTCTTCGAATACTTCTACCATTTAAAGGATGAGTACATTAATACTGAAAGAGTCAATTTTTTTGTAAACATAACTCTTTTTATCATACTCACAGCTCTTTAAAATAAATCAAATATTTGAAAACGTGTTTAGAAAGCTTTCTGATTCTGTTGTCTTGCAGCCATCTGATAAAAAGATAGAATAATACGGCAGTGATAGGTAAATCTTTTCACATCTTCCAGTTATGTTGAGTTTTCCAAACTAACTGCAAAAACACAATATTGGTAAACATCCTGACTTACTGAAATTTTTTAAACGTTGATTTCTGATAGTCTCGATAAGTCTGGCTCTTATTATTTTATTAAAGTTACTGGAACATCCTTACTGCGCATTATCTTGCTCATTCATCCAACAAACATGTAATAACTAAGGTATAAAATTATGACCTCCTACAGCAATATTTTTGTATGTTTCCTTTCTTTCTCAGTAAATTATTATTTTTTCCATCTTCATTCTGCAGGTGTCCGATCTTTCACACAAACAATTTAAACTTTTATCATTTTGTATAATGAAATTTTTCTTTTCTGTACTCACAGGTGTGTCAATGCTCTTAAACCATCAAACAAACCCTCCTGTAACTCTTCTAGGTCGTTATCGTTAAGTTGTCTGTAGAGGAGAAGAGTTAAAAAGTGTTACAATTAAATTGTTTGAAATTTGGCAGAGACCTAACAACTACTGACTTCGAAAGTAATTTATTCAGCTTTAATACGACCCTTGTTTTAATTGGCGACTCAAAACAGATTCACACGATGCTTGGCTTTTGAGGTACCTGATCTTGTTACCCAGATCGTGTCTACTGTTAGATTAGCCGTTATATCTTTGATCATTGATTGCGGGCGTTCGTTATCGGTCTGTGTGTCACGCAGATATTTAAGGGTTGAAGGATGTGATCGATGAAAAGGAATATGCACTATTAGAATTATGATGTGAGTTGTGACGCTTGTAATAGTTGATATACGAGGACGACTTGTCACTTACAGCCACTGCAGCTTTATTAACTGGGAGAATGCATTGCTAGTCAAATTCTTGATCTTGTTGCCGTATAACCAACTGTAAGGTAAGAAAGCTTTGTTTTAACAGTCCTTGGCAAAGTATAATATTGGTGCGAAAAGAAGTGCAAAGCCTGTTGTGAGAGAGAACACTTGAAATCTCCTTTTCGTAATGGCAAATAAAACAAAGTTATGAAAGGAATGAAAAATGGAATTTACAAAACGTGGACCAATGTCAGATGCCAGGATATGATCATGAATGAAACTGAAAGGATTGTTAATGAGGGTAAATTTCTATATTCTGTTTAACTCCGACCACCTATGAAATTTCCCACTCTCTTTCAGCCTCTTCATGGTCACTAAGCGGCAGGACCTTCTTGATCACTTTAAGTTCATAATGAGACTAAAATTTTGGCACATCAAAGGCTATCATTACAAGAGCTAAGAAAATCAATTACGTACAGTTTGATCAACTCAGTGTTGTCATTGAAGATTCCAGGTGGCAGCTCCTCTATTTGGTTGTTACCCAATTCCCTAGGAAAAGATATTCCCTGATTTCAGTTAAAAGTGTTACTTTTTAGAAATTGTTGCTATCGCGGGTTTTTTCATTTTTGTCTGTTGGATGGACAGTTTATTTGTGTCGTGCCCGCATCAAACACACGCTTATTCTATAACCTTGATATATTTGTTATATTTTGATATCTATCAATATAGCCGCAAACGCTAATCACTCGTATTTCAAACTTTATTAGAACAAACTTGACACATTGTTGAATACGGTAACTGAAAATGACAAAATTATAAACATGCAAATGAGCATAAAATAACTTACATCGTATGGGCGAAAGTACTGGAAAACGACAAAGCGAAATAAACAAGGACACTTACAAGACGAATGTGACCAAACCAAAGACGAAAACATGAAACCCAGAGCTAGATATGTAACGATAATTTTCGCAAACTACAACTAACCAAATAAATTACGCGCAACCAATATATACGATATGCAAATAAATACAACAAGTATAAAACTGGTAACTGACAAAGGACACTAATGAATACGAGAAAATAAACACCTAACACGAAACTATGAAACACCAACACTAGCAAAAAATGATAATACAAATTCTTGCGCCTACAGTCAACACTCCTGGCATAAGGCGCTTTTAAAACTCATCGATTACTAAACAGACAGCAAAAAATATAACGTAGAAGTGCTTAGTGCAACAATTCTTATCCTGTCGAGTGAAAAGTAAATCTATTTTTTGAGAACTAAACTAATGAGCAGCACTCTGTGAACAGTAGTTGTAAAACGTCTTTATTCTTCTCAATTCTTACTCTCATAGACTTCTTAAGGGAGTTTTGCGGATTAATGCTAAAGACTTGTATTTATAAGTCATACTATGGTTTTTACTGGGCCCAATTACCATATAGGCTGGGCCGGACTTACAAACAGAAACATTCGAAGTTGTGAGAAAATATTTGGAGGCCAACGTTTAGAAGAAACGTCGCAGAATAAACAAGCTTTACAACTACTGTTCGCAGAAAACTATTCACTAGTTTAGTTTTTAAAACTTTGCTTTTAAAATTTTTCGAAAATTTTTTTTGAAATATACTTTTAAAAAATTACAAACTAGGTTTCAAATTGACAGTTCGGCAGCTGAACCCATGGATATATCACCGCGTAACTTCTCAATATTATTGTCTTATTGTAAATTAGCAGGTAAATTTTGTTCCTCTCCAATGTAATGGAACATGAAAATTAAGCCATTCAGATATCTGGTAAAATTCAGGACCATGATTTGGCGCCAAAAGATAAATTTTTTCCTTCTAAACAATTTTTGAATGTAACAGAATTGATAACTTTAAAAATGAGATTGAAACCAGGACATGTTAAATTGCGAGCTGGGATATTTTAGTTTTGTATTCCACCGGTTTGTTATTCGATGTTTTATTCGACCACTGCTTTACTGCTGCATGTTACAGCGCTTTAATTTGGATTGCATTTCGACTACCTTTGGGGTGACGAGAGCATGCAGCGTAGAAGATTTTGGGGTACCTAATCTTGTTACCCAGATCTTGTCTGTTGTTAGATTTAGCCGTTATATCTTTGATCATTGGTTGCGGGCGTTCTTTATCGGTCTGTGTGCTACGCAGATGTTTAAGGGTTGAAGGATGTGATCGATGAAAAGGAATATGTACTATTCGGATAATGATGTGAGTTGTTACACTTGTAATAGGTTACATAGGAGGACGACTTGTCACTTACAGCCACCGCAGCTTAATTAACTGGGAGAATGCATTGCTGGTCAAATTCTTGATCTTGTTGCCGTGTAACCAACTGTAAGGTAAGAAAGCATTTGACTGTAGTATTGGTGTGAAAAGAAGTGCGAAGTGCAAAGCCTGTTCTGAGAGAAAACACTTGTAATCTCCTTTTCATACTGGCAAATAAAACAAAGTTATAAAGGGAATAGAAAATAGAATTTACTAAACGTAGACAAACGTCAGACGCTAAGATATGATCATTTATGAAACTTAAATGATTGTGTTACTCTTTTCTGTTTGACTTCGTCCATCTATGAACTGTCCCACTCTCTTTCACCCTCTTCATGGCTGACTACACCTACCAAGCTTCAGGACCTTCTTGATCACATTTAGTTCATAATAAGATTAAACTCTTGGAACATCAAAGGCTATTATCAGAACAGGCAGGTTACGTACAGTGAGATCAACACAGTGTTGTTATTGAAGACTCCAGGTGGCAGCTCCTTTATCTGGTTGTTACCCAATTCCCTAGGAAAAGATATTCCCTGATTTCAGTTAAAAATTGTTGCTATTGCAGGTTTTTTTTCATTTATTTTCTGTTAGTTGTACAGTAATCGGTTTGTGTTTTACACCATTATCGTCATTATTATTCGTTTCGACACGATCACGCAATAGTTATTGTAAAACAACCACTTTTCACTTATAGCCAGTGCAGGTTTAGCAATTCAGCAAATAAATTATCAGGCAGCTTTTTTTTAATATTGTATCGGCCTAAAAATCTGTAATTGCTAAAAAAAACATTCTATTACATAATAACGCATAACGTGTTTAATTACCTATAATGGACAAGGAGAAGGGTATATCGACTACTGAACTTGTTTTGGTTCACGTTGTCGAGGGACACAATCGTGATGGAACCCCAGTCGCTCACATATATATCTTCTAGTACTCTATATCAGTGGTCAGCTAAAAGGTAAGATTCCTCTTTCAACACGATTGTGGCTTGACTTATTATTAACTAAATCAAACAACTTGTTGTCGTTCGATAGTATTTGAGTATATTAGAATTAACAAGAATTTGGAGAAGGATTTTACAATAAAAATATGTAGGTCGAATATGAACTTTTAGTCTTCCTACTCACAAGTTGAGCAATTTGTTGTTGTTACGGAAGACTCCTGCTGGTAGCTCCTCTATCTTGTTCCCTCTTAAGCTCCTACAAAAAGGATACATGATGGATCTTAGTATGGCATCTTTGAAATGCCATCCAGTTTGATGACAAAAAACTATCTGGCTTAAAAGCCTTTTCTCACAAAGTTAGTAAATGACATCTTCGCAAATGGCGGGTGGATCGAGACCAAACTAATAATAGATTTAATGTTTACTGGTTACTTACAGGAAGTCCAACTCGGAGTTGTTTTTGAAGACTTCAGCTGGTATCCTCTTTATCTGGTTTCCACGCAAGTTTCTACGACAACATTCGCATAAGATTCAAAATGATTTTTCAATGTTTTCCTTGTAGTTTCATTATGAAACTGAGTAGGCTGAGAATCTAATATAACTTTAGCTTTATAACACTGTTTTTTGCACCTGTATTTTAAAGTTCTAATGTTATAAAATGCTCGATTGTAATGATGTGGAAAGCAAGAAGAAAATAATGAGAAGGCGCCCGTTTCTGATCGCGCTTAAGGTCTTCGCTTAAATAAGCAGGCAATGCATGGGGATACAAGGGCGTACAATACTCTCTGGACACCAGCCCAGTGAAGTTAAGATATATAAAAGCACATGATATCGTGAGCCGGAACATTCTCACGCTTCAGCAAGATCAAGAAATGCATGAGCTTATTGGCCCTTAACAATTTCATTGAAGGTTATTAGGCGTGGTTACCCCCAATATGTGGTTTGGGCAACAAGTTGAAGTTCCTAGGAGTTGACGGTTACGACGTCGAACTGGTGTTGGTTCTCTTGAAGCCAATAATCAATTATTTGCACTCATCTGAGTTCACCTGAGGATTTTTGTAAGCCAACTACTGCTTTACTGCTGCATGTTGCAGCGCTTTGGATCGCTAAAGGCTTGTATTTATAAGTCACACTATGGCTATTACGGGGCCCAATGACCATATAGGCTCAGCCGAACTTATAAACAGAAACAGGCGAAGTTGTGGAAGAATATTTGGGGGCCAACGTTTAGACGAAACGTGTCGCAGAATAAACAACTTTTACAACTACTGTTCGCGGAAAACTATTCACTAGTTTAGTTTTTAAAACTTTGTTTTTAAAGTTTTCGAAACATTTTTTTGAAATTAATTTTAAAAATTTCCAAACTGGGTTTGAACTTGATAGTTCGGCAGCTG